TTTAACTTTTTTGTTTATTTTTTTTAGTGGTTTTACCATGTTTGAAAAATGCCTATTGCCTAGTAATTTAAAAAAATGTTCTTCATAATTTTGAAATGAAAAAATATACCTAAATTCACTACAATAGGGGACAGTTCTAAAAACTTAATTGTGGGGAGGGGGGGGGGCTAGATCCTAATTTTCACAAATGAATAATGATTATTCGGTGACGACAAAAACTATATCTCAATAATCAGTCATGTGGTCACTTACATTAGGAACCAGGAGTTAGAAATTGTATGTATATCATTGTTTTTTTGTATTTAAAAGTATAACGTTATTCTGTGTGGTACAAACTAAATAGGTACAGTTTTAAAAAGTACATTTATATATATTATATTTACATATACCAATTCGAGCCCTAAAGCCCCCCATATACCTACTACGATGAAACACGATGGTTTTCATCGTCACAGAAMACACGTCGGTTTTCATCGTTGAATGATTTTGCTCATACATTACGATAAAACACCTCAGTTTTCATCGTGCTGCATCGTCAGTTGTACACACTTCGTGTTGCAAAATCGAGTGATGCTTCAGTTTTAGTTAAGTTTATTTCAGCTGAGGTATAGTTAATTTTTTTTCGTATACCATGAATTCGACGCAATTGATAGCAGTGGCTGTGGCAAGTGTTATATTATCAAAGAAAAAGACTAGAAAACGTTCGGTATGGACTAAAGAGTGGTTGTTAAAAAGAAAAAAATTTTCTCATATGTATAACGTACATTTAATTATTTAAGAATGGATGAGCATACTTATTTTGAGTTATTGAACTTGGTAACTCCTTTGATAATGAAGAAAAACACGAAGTTAAGAGAAGCAATCTCTCCACATGAAAGACTCACGGTGACACTGAGATATTTGGCAACAGGAAGAAGTTATGAAGATCTAAAATTCACAGCAGCGATTTCGGCACAATCATTAGGACAAATAATTCCTGAAACATGTTCTGCTATTTATAAAGTTTTAAGAAAAAAATATTTAAAGGTATTTTTTTATTATTTCATTTGTATGTTTAATATTTTGTAGTATATTCTAATACATTTATAAATATTATTGTTTCAGTTTYCCAATAATGAAACTGAATGGAAAGCTATTGCTACTCAATTTGAACAAAGGTGGAATTTTCCAAATTGCTTGGGTAGTGTAGACGGCAAACATGTCCACATAATTTCACCTTCAAACTGTGGTTCCTACTTCTGGAATTACAAAGGAACTTATAGTCTTGTATTAATGGCAATCCGCTAACGCCAATAATGAATTTGTGATGATTGATTTTGGTGCAAATGGCAGATTATCTGACGGAGGAGTTATCGAAAATACTTTATTTCATCATAAACTTATCAACAATGAGCTGAAAATTCCTCAACCTTCAAGTCCGATCAATAGTAACAAGCTCCTACCCTACGTTTTTATTGGTGACGAAGCATTTTCTTTAAGAAATTATTTTTGAAGCCCTTTAGCCAAAAAGAACTCGATAAAGAAAAGATAATTTTTAATTATAGGTTATCTCGCGCACGTCGAGTTATTGAAAATACTTTTGGAATTTTGGCTTCAAAATTTAGAATTTTCAATCACCCCATAAATCTCAAGTTGRAGAATATTGAAAAAGTTGTTATGGCTTGTTGCGTACTCCATAACTTTTTGCGAAAAAAAAATAGGTGAACTCTAAGTATCTACGAACAACTACGAAGTAGAAAATACAGAATTTGATGTACCACCAGACACAATGGGTTGTCTAATAAGTTTGGAAAAAGGTCATAACAGAAATGCAACAGAGTCAGCAAAAGAAGTTCGAAATGCATACAAAGAATATTTCATCAGTGGAGGTGCTGTGGAGTGGCAAAATAATTTAATTTAGAAGTATTATTAGAAAATATAATAGGTAAATAATTTAAAAAACAAGTAAGACATTTTAAAATTAAATTAACTTTTTGAGTGTTGTATTTTTTGTACACTTGTATAAATTATAACAATATTGTAAGATACAAATATACAAAATATTAATAGTATTATAATATTATATTATTCAAGGTGTACATATGTATTATTTAGATCCTATCCAAAGTTTGAATAGTACTGTTCTGTTAGATTTGTTTGGCGTTGAGTCTATTGGTATTAATGTATGAAAAAGCTGAACATTTGTACGGTTATCTTGTAGATTGAAACGGGTGTGCTTTGTTATATTTCCCATCTGTGCCTCGAACAAAACATCATTAATAATTTTTTCAGTTACTAACATCGCTTCGTTCGGAAAATCTTCAATTTAAAAGCGATATTTTTACCGATTACCGGTCTTCTTTTTCAACGTCCAGTTGCTTGGATACTTTTTCCAAGACTTATTCAGCTTTATTACATTTTCGTTTAAAGTTTGGTCTATTTTTTATTGAAGTATTGGAATAAATAGATGATGCAGAAGTTATCGCTGACGGTGTACTTATCAATTCTTTATCAACTGATGCTTCACATACACTTTCCGTTTCAAGACTTCCTACTTGCGAATCCATCTAAAAAAATTAAGTATAAAATAAATAATTGAAATAGGTAACCATAATAAAATTTCATAAATAAGAAAAATTAATCCTAAACATATTTTATAATAGAATCAGTTGTTAAATAGAAAAAAAAGATTTTTTAATATATTACAATTTTTTTTACATGTACCAACTACCTACTTATTTAATATTTATTGTTATGACAAGGTAGGTACAATGTTTTTTTTAGTTTATTGAGTTCTAAATTGTAAATATTTTTAAATTTTATTATGAAAATTAAATCATGTAATTGTGTTTTATTTAATAGGTATTATTTGTTAACTATTAAATTTGAGAACATTRTAAGACTTAAATGAGTGATAATAAAACTAAGACTGTTTTAATTACAACCAAATAAATATTTTAAACTTTGAAATGTATTTTATTATTTCTTCTTATTATAATCAAATACTTCAACTAAATTATTAGGTACCTACATTATAATAGGTACCTGCCTATTAAAGTTGTTTAGTATAATTATTATTGCTGCTAGATGTACCTACTAATTTTAGTTTTTTATAATTTGCATCTATTTGACACCTTACCACAATATAGTACTATATATTGTGATTAAATAAAATGTTTTGAATTTTAGAATGAGTTACCTAAGTGAAGTATATTATAGGTAGTTAAATAATAAATTATAAAATACCTTTACAACAAAATTAATATGTTCATTAGTTATTTTATTAAGAATTATAAATTAAATATATATATTTTTCTACAGTTAGATGTAGTTTAAACTTTGTTTGGTGGTTATATATGTGTTTTTTAATTATTATTAAACCTAGGTAGTAGCTAATATCTTTCTTTTATCTATCTATTTGCTTAATCATTGAAAATTTTAATAGAAGTTTCAACTATGTTTAAGTCTGAAATATCATGGAAACAAATATAAACTTTTCTAAAGGGTGCCAATAACTGCACAATTTACCCTATTATATTATATATTAGATACCTTTTATACTTTTATAAAAGTAGGCAATCTAAAATAAAGTTTCAAGTTCATATTACTATGTTTGTATATTTCATACCTATTGTAAAATATTGTTTATACATTATATTAAATTAATACTTAAACAATAGCAAATTAATATTATACTTACAGTATCATCTGTGAAGTTTATACTGAATATACCATCTCGTGGTGTTTCTTGGTCCTTTAGAAACATCAGATTTTTGAAGTACCACAAATGTGGGATATACACGTCTTCTTCTCCTGCACCTGACCTCTGTGAATCTTTAATTTTCTTCAATTCTTTGCGGAAACAACCTCGCATTGAATCAATTTTATTCTTAACCATTTGAATAGTAGCATCTGCTTCCACTTCTCTCATTTTATCAAGTAAATGTTTGTATGCCTTATTTTTTTGATTTCTGTCTCGATATTCCTCGGACTTTATGCGCCACAAGCAAGGAAATTATAGCTATAAATTTAGGGGATGCATTTTTTGAATGATATAGGGGATGATTATCCAGAAAATGTAGGGGATGATAATCCGAAAATGCCCAATTAACACAGGGGTGTTAATAAGATAATAATAGAATATTCATTAAGATATATGTAAAGTGTAATGAATATTCTTCATTCGCATAAAGATCTTCTATTAATATGCATACAATGTGAAAAAATTGCAAAATGAGTCACCTATAGTCTATGAATATCTAGTCCAATCGGATCAACTATAAATAATCTTATAGGAATATTCATATAATAATTTAAATTATGCATACAATATTCAATGGGYATTTGAAATTAAATAATATATGAATAACTCATAATTGTTCCAATAAATTATTACTAAAATACTATTTAATGATGAATTTCATATTCTATTTATTATAAAACATATATCCATTGGTTGTGAATATATTAATTTATTTCAGATTACAGATATATCTGTATAATATATTTTATATTATTTATTTAAAAAACTTTTATTACATGGATTATTTATTTTTAATTCTCGCATTTAAATGCAATATTTAA